ATTTTCTCCCTATTTACGGTAATGATGGAGATACAATTTCTAAAAGGGGTGTCATCATAAACATAAAGAGATATCGCTGGGAAAAGGTTCCTGAAAACCTTTTTGTAGGAAACTAATAATTAAGGATGATGATCTTGTTTTGTTCGAATAGCTGGAGCTGTTTTCTCGCCAAATGTTTTTGTATCCACCCAATATATTTTCTTTTTGCTTTTTGCTTTTTGTTTTTTGTTTGTTTGTTTTTTTTCTTTGTCAACCACACAGGAATAGAGGAGTTAAGGGTGGATATCATAGGAGGAAATTCAAACTCAAGTTATTCATGCATTAAGTACGATCATCACTTACCTTCCAAGATCCAATGTTCCTTGGTGCCCAACTCTAGAGTTATTGAGCCAAACGCGTTTTCTTCCAGTACTGTCTGGTAGCTATGGTTACGATAGAAACTGTTGCTTTCAAGTCAAGATGAACATTAATATTAGAAATAAACTTCCCTCTTCCTGATTGGGCTCTTTGCACAATAAGCTAAATTGGTAAAATAATACCCGGCGAAGAATTTAACCTAATTGACGGACTGACCGGAGTAATGGGTATTGGACTATAAAATGTCAATATTAATTCTTTGAAAGTATCGCCTGTCGCGTCACTGTGCCAAAGGCAATATAGCTATAGATCGTTTTTTAGTAATTCATGTCAAACAAACGCAATGGAAATGAAATTGAGAGAAGGAACGAGAGGCTTCAGGAAGAATTCAAGGCAAGACCAGAAAAATGGTTTTGAGACTCGCACAAGGACAGAAAAAGAGGAGAGGAAAGTTAACCACTACGTAATGAAACTGGAAGGACAGATTTTTTTGTTTGTTTTGCATTGTTTTTTGTCTTGTTTTTTTTTTTTATTGTTTTTTTTTATCCATAACTTTCTAAAACGTGTTTAGTTTCCTTGTAAGAGTCTTTATTTATTTTCTACCATCAGTTTGTACAATAACACTAGTTGAACGACTTGAACGGCTACCTATCGCTACCAATCGCTCTGACGAGGGGCTAACGCTCGAAACGTCAGCTTTTTTACCCTTTACGGTGGCTAATTACGTTTTCAACCCAGATGTTAACACTAAATTACTTGCTATACTCTCTCTCCGACGCAGCACCACAGTTTCTTTAGAAACTTACCCCTTTATTCATTTGCCTATACACTAGACTTGGTTATTAACACTGTTTGCAAGCATAAAGCGTTTAAAGTCTTGTCAAAGAGGTGCTCTCAGACAATACTGCGTGATGCGTTGTAGTTAAATAAGCCCGCTGAAGACTGGGACTGCACACTGCAGCAGACCCAACATACACCAGGGTAGGTAAGATCCAAATAATGAAACTTCTTTACCAAGCGTAGAGCCAGTAAAATCATTGTGTTTTCGCCAAAAATTTGGTTTGACATGGCCGTGACCAAAAGTTGCACTTGAAAGGGTTGAAATTTTGACGACTTTGTAAGTCCATCAAGGTTACTTCCCACCTTCGCGGGTGTCCTTTGGGAAAAAATCGCACGCGTGCTAGTTTCACTAAAATCCTAGCAAACTATACATCAAAAGAAGCTTGATAACTGCAGATTACAATAAAAATATAATTTAAGCGACTTTTCTTTAAGGAAGTGTCAGGAGCCGGTAAGGCGTGAAACGACCGAAGGTTCTTCTATTGAATTCATCGCTTATCGGATGCCGCAGTACGAGCAACATGGTTGCACAGTCTTATTCACAAGGCATCAATCAACGAAAGTGTGTCAGGCTTTTTCTAAATTCTGATTGGTTTTCTGGATATCGGCATTTAGAAGCATGTTGTGTCGATGGACCTCACGGGACAAATGCATTGATATCAAAATTTCACGACATAATTTCATTTGTTATTACTCCTGAAAGTTTTGGCGAAATTTGACGAAAATCGGTCCAATCTATAAAATCGTTCGGGTTGTATTCCTTCCAAAATCAAATGCGAGGTTTAAGCTCATAAAGGTTCGCAAACAACTCGCGTCACGCCAGGAGATTATCTCGCCTCCTGAAACCGCAAAACAATGGTACAATGGGACCTCTTGGCGCCAATGACGATATATAAAGATTTCCCGGGAAACGTAACCCATCGGCGACACCTTCTTCTTCTTTTTTTTTTTTTTTATTTTTAATCTCGATCGCTTAGTGGAGCATTGAGGAGGACGACGCAATAATGAGCACAGTTGCCGAAGACAAAGGCAATACCTGCGGCAAAAATGAAAAAAATACTGCAAAATCTGCTGAGGAGCAAGACAACGAATTGACAGACAGCTATCAAAATTACGATCTAAGCTGGTACTTGCATAAAGAAAAGGAAACCTCGTTTTCACATTATGTAAGGCAAATTTTGTAAATTTTGTAAAGTGCGCGATGTAAAAGACGAGCCCCACCATGAGCGGTTACCGCGAAAATTACCCCAGAGGACTCGCCTATATTAGGTCTGAGATTATGACACTTTTCTCATTTGTTAACATTTTATTTGAAAGTACGTTTCTCTGAATAACTCGGGCGCTTTTAAAGATTTCAGAATTTTTATTTTTTTTATTTTTTTTAAACACTAAGTTTAATGTATAAATTCAGTTTAGCCAAATAAAAGAAAAATCGACTTTTTCGGCCTTTGAAGGTGAGAAGTATTCTTCGTTCTTTGACCCTGGGATTGTTTAATGCGGTTGAAAAAGGACCTTGCTGCATCACTGAGATGATTTGCAACTCTAACAGTCTTGACCACTCAACACAGAAATCGACCGATTTAAGATCTCTATTTCTCTTTCATTTATTCTTCAAGAATACATTATGAATTTTTTTAACTATCCGAAGAAAATATCAAAAATGCAAGGCGGTGTGCTGATCAAGATTTCCTCGATTGACCGACAAAATGTTGGTGAATTTTTCTCTTGAGGAATGTAAAAAGTAGAAAGAAACGTCAAACTTCGCTAGGAGCATGTTTTGCAATAGGAGCAGAGTATTTTGCGTTACTTTTCACTTCATCGAAATACTCTATTCAAAGCTGCTTTCTTATTTTTTGCAAAACTTTTAGTATATGTAGTTTTCGCTGTGGCACCGTTAGCGCCGTAATTGAATTCGGCTCTTGATTACAAATAATTAATTTTTTTTTTTCCAACCCTTAATATCATGTTCAGTTCTCGCAAAGTACTTTATTATCCTGTTATCTATGAGCAAATAGGAATTTGAATTAATTATAAATTCTGTGAAAAATTCAGATCTTAGGGCGAGCGCCAAATTGTACCGACTGAACCTTACCGCTGTGGACCATAGCCTTCTTCGAGAGCGGGAGAATCTAACCACAATTGCACATTTACCGAGGTGGATTCTGCGAGCCTGGGCCAGCTATACCTTTATCGTTCATCTCTTCTTTGGCTCAAATATATATAAATATATAAATACATATCTCCAAATATAGCTCAAGGTCTACCTCAAAATCCCTGTCTAAATCCTCTCAGAATTGATATAAGCGATCCTCGCAGCTATGGACATTGCTAAACTAGTAGCTGAAATAAGCCCTGGAAAAAATTCAGGCCCGTACGAGATTTGAACCCATGACATCTGCGATACCGGTACAGCGCTCTACCAACTGAGCCAACAAGTCAACTGGCTTGTTAGCTTAGATGAATTATTAGCTTGAGAAGTTTTTGGATTATTTGGAAACTGTTTTAAATTTTCGGAGAGGGATGATGTATAAGCACCCGAATGTTAAATTCCATCTGTTTATGTTTACAAAACCAAGTTATAAGAAATAACTTTCTCTAACTCTTCATCCCTGTTGAATTGGGTTTTAAGCTTTGGTGCAACAATTCATCTTACCCTTAAATTTCAACTGCACGTAAGTGTAGTAGATTAAATTAGCTCACCGTTTATACACAAATGAATCAGCGAAACGAAATGAAACCGTCGAAAGGAATCAGCATACACGCATATGATTTTAGTGATCGCATTATTTAATATTCCGATCGCTAAACGTATAAAGTAAAAATTCGTAGTATGTCACCTTAATCAAACGCTACAGATGTCATCAATTTAGTTAGGCAAAATTTCCATGATTCGTCGAAAAGTACACTTCATTATTTACGTATTCAATACGACCAATATTCACTAATGGACTAATCAATACAAACCGACCTGTTTATATTAAAGATAATGATTTAGCAGCGGTCAGTATATACTCAATATGGTTGTTTATTCAATAACATGTGCACGTTTAAATGTCTATGAATACAGTAGTCTGAGAAGTTTTATGTTTTGTAAGGTAGGAGTCACTGTTTGTTGTTCAAAAGTAAAATCAGACGAGAGGTTCTTTTTTTTTAGGTCTCGTATTATGAAAATAAATGGAGTGCACTTAAGATAATATCATTGTGAACACTATCGGTGGTGCACAAACCCAAGGAAAGCTGTCCTACAGACGACCAAGTTTTTCATTCAGCCTTATGGCCGATCCATTTCCGGTAATTTTAGTGGGAGCCAACATATCAAATAAATGAGTCAGGGTCAGAGTCAGCGCGCGAGACCACGGCTAGTGTTCGTGTGCATCCTCGCTGAGTGATCATAATAATTTGCTGTGGAAGCGTATAGGAAAATTGAACTTCCCCCCGACAGTAATCACGTTAATAGTGAATCAAAGTTTGCAAAAGATGCACCTCCATCTACTGTTTTAATTTAGTGTAGTTGTTGTCTTCGTGTATACATGAAAATAGTATAATTGAAAACGAGTGTGGTAAAGAGCGTAGTGTTTTATTTTTGTTCGCCTATTGATTGACATATTTATCTATTTTATCACAAAAAAACTCTCTAAGCACTAAGAAATTTTCAGATTTTCTGTGTTCCAACCAAAAAATCTAATTGCTGCACAGAAAAGAAATTGAGTTAATATTGGTTTATTGTTAGCAAACTTTTGCTATTTACAACTAAACAGATTGCAAGTACTTAAATTGTTGTTGTTATTTCTTCTGCTTCGCATTCAGTCTGTACCACAGTAACGCATCTGACATTTAAGTGGCCTGATAAGGTTGTAAATAAAGTAGGATCCACAGTTCTTTACAGAAATGTTTTTGATTTCTCTGCATTTATTACCATTTCTGTCACTAAAGCAGACCTTTTTGGAAGCTTCACCATCTTCCACTGTAGGATGGGTATCATCCAACCAGCCAGGGTGGACTGCACCACATCTGTAGTCTGACACCCTTGTTGTTGGCATTTTTGTTCCAGCAGCTCCCACAAAACGATACCATCCCTCAGGGAGCTGTTTGTCACACAACTCTGAACCGTAAGGTGTTTTGTAACTTTCCTTTCTATTGGCTTCACTCAGGTTTTTATAATAATAGCAAGGATCCGCTACAAAGTGATATTATAAATACGAAAGGAGTTAGGTTATTAAAATCAATGGTTTAACATATTTTTAAGTTAGAGGTCAAGTAATACTTGCGTGAGACATTTTTAAACCATGAAGCTAAAAAATCATTACGGGAAGCAAAATTTATTACCTACGGATAGCAGTATCTGAATTCGTGTTTCCTCTTTTATCATCAACACATTAAAGGACAGCTTTCGGCAAACTAAAGTTGCAGTTAATTTAGTTTACATATGACCACACAGCATTATGGTTGCTGATGACCACCTGAGTAGAAACGATTTAGATCGAGTCTAATCTACAGGCGCCATAATTAATTTTATGGCATAGTAGATACCAAACGTACCTTCACAGTTTAAACCATTTCCGATGTATTTAGATTTACAGGAACAGATGTATGAGCCCTGAGTATTAGTGCAAGAGGCATTCGGATCGCAATCGTTCATTTTAACGGTATGAGCTTTACTGCATTCGTCAATGTCTGTAAGAGAACATACATATCACCTCAAAATCAAGCGACAAAGAATGTCTCAAGGAGATACAGAAAACTAACTGTCACAAAATTTCGTACTCGTACTCTTTGAACATCGATGTTTATGATAAAGAGAGCAAAATGTTTCCCAAAAAAAAACGGACAACAACGACGTGATGTAATTAAAATTCAACGACTAATCCATCTGACTAGTAATGCAATGAAAACAATCTCAGGTTCTACTTATCAAAAAAAATTGTCATCGTTAGAAGAAATAATTGTATCTTGTCATTGATTACAGAGATCCAGTTTGTACTCGTCAATGTCTGGGAATACATGGTGCGTCACAATGCAAGATAAGATATTTAATGCAAAATGTGTTGTTGCACAAGAACAATTTTTTCCCAATGGGTGCTCATCGGTTTATTTGGTGTCACATTCAATCTAACAATTTCAAAAATTTTTTACTACCAAAAGTCTCTGAGCGGGCATCATTGCAAATTTCTATGACACTAGAGAGTACAGTGTCACCCGCGAATTTTGATCACCGATTCACTGACTGTTTTAAAGGGGATATATCACCGCTCAACGACAACCTGAAGCGACAAAAAGTAAACGTCTGCCATCCTGATGGTGAGATACGATTAAAAAAATATGTTCTAGTTCTTATTATGGGGCACTCATTTTAGTTACATGTGAGGTTAAATTTGTTTTCTTTTTTTTCAGACAGCACCTCGCAATATTTCAATTTTTCAAGTATACAAGTTTGACTTTTTTTTTCATCTTCATTTTGTATTTTAACTCAATTACGAAATTTCACAACTTCTAGCTCTAAGGTTAAAAGTAAAACTTGCGATTTTGTTTCACGCCGTCGTCTATTATTATTGCAACGTCCATCAAAAGGCAGAAAGACACAAAAAGCATCAACGATTTTCATTTACTACAACGAAGCACTATTTAATGGGTCCGTAACATAATTTAATGCGGTGTAATACAAATAATCCAATGCTAAGTATGATAAAGTTCGGATATAACGCGCGCTGTCATCGGTCGAAAAAGCGTGCTCTATCAGAGTACTGAAAACATAGGGCTGAGCCAAAACTGTCAGGCCATCTTCCAAATTATACTCTGTCCAACCATTTCTCGAACTCCTCTCTAGCTCTGTTTTACTAATTGAAAGTGAAATTTTGGAATGAGCGAAGTAGTAACAGAAGAACCAAATTAAGGTTTCAAAACATGCCAAGCGTCTTGATTAACGCTATCATAACATGAGTAGAGACGCATATGCTTCTCGACTACGTCTGGTGTTTCTCTCTACACTTCGTTGGTGCTCTAGCCGCTTCTTACGTGCTTTAAAAAAAACAATAAAAACAACGACAACAAACAGAAATTCATTGTAATAGTCAAAACGAATATGAAGACTTTTGAGATTATTAACTTTACCTGTACAGTTGCGTCCATCTCCAGTGTATCCAGGTTTGCATGTGCAAACGTGTGATCCGTGCGTGTTGTTACAAAGAGCATTTACGTGACATTTGTCGGAGTATGTTTCGCATTCGTCAATATCTTTCAAAAAAAAGAAAAAAAATTAAAAATGGGATTTTTTTTTATTCAAAAGTCATACATGTACATGTGTGTAAGAAAAGTGGAATACTCATTTGCAATTTTTTGGTTTCATGCGATTCTCAGGTTGGACCTGTAAGTCAAACCGCTATTTTTCAAATTTGTTCACGTTGGTACAGCAAAGAATATCTAAACTGCTCTTGTTTTGCTACGGGAGCACAAAAGACGTTATATAATCAAAAAAAAGAAAGAACGAACTAAAAGAAATAACCCATGACCGCATTTCCTCGTTATACCGAATTCACCTGTGCAATTTTGTCCATTTCCAGTATATCCAGGCTGACAATCGCATACATACGATCCATTGGTGTTGGTGCAGTTTGCATCCTCATGACAAGAGTGGTTTCCTTTACACTCGTCAATGTCTATGAAATCACAGATGAAAAAATGGGATTTCAAAATTATGCAGAAATTGCCGTGCATAAGCCTTTACTGTGTTAAAGAGTGCAGGTAATGGCTGTTTTCAACCTTTTGCTGGATTGCGAGAACGCGAGATTGTTGCGTCGAACATTCAAGATAAATAAAAAAATAAAACAAAAAAACAACAAACAAGCAGACAAACCAAAACAAAACGAAACGGAAATATACAAACGAGCGAGCGAAGAATACATTACACAAGCTCAATAAAATAAGGTAAGAAATTTTTCTTCGATTCTAAGATTCAGCACCTTATACAAAGAGAGAAATTTACGCCACTTTCAGCAACTAAAGAACAGTTGTCATACCAGCTTGAAAATCAGAAAAAAAATCTCATATACGTTCATTTCAAGTGTTGACTTATACTCATACCCTTCTCACAATATTCTCCTTCGAATCCAGGAGGACACAAGCATCGATATCCCTTGAGTGTAAATCCAGACTGGCATGTTGCGTTACTTTTGCAGTAGGGACTCTTGTCACAAGCGTTCTAATGAAGAAGCAAAATTAAAATGAAAGAAGAAACGAAATACCGAATGATCGAATACGCGAAAAGTTATATAAACATTAATTGTTGTTATTATATTATTCAAAGGCGATAATTTCGAAAAACCGATTAGTAACTCACCTTCGATCCGCGATAATAAAAATTGGCATCAGTTGTCAAGTCAATGTCGTATTTCAGATGAGTGGCGTTATTTAGTTCACAGATGTGAACTGCTTCATTATTCTCAGGATCTTTTTTGAAGTTAAGACTAACACAGTCGTCGTTCAGGTAGCACATTAGCTCACACTCATCCAAGTTGTTGACGCGTTTCTTTTCAATGGTATGGTTTTCCAGACGTCTTCCAGCAAAGAAGTAGTAGTCCGGAAACACCATTGCGCGCTCTCGCTCTAAAATGGACAAATTGAAACATGATTATAAGGCATACTTTTCCGTCAAAAAAGCTACATTCCGAGTAAAAAGTTCTAAGAACAAATCTCTTGGCAAAAATTCTCGGATCTCAGCAAAATATGGTAGTAAATGCGTAAGTCAAACATAGCAGTCGGTGAGAGGAACGATGATTCGTTAAATGTAAAAAAAATTTGTAAATTGCTTCGCCGTTTTATACAGTTAAACCATAACATAAAGCTACCTTTATTTCAGAGTTTGTGGGTTTCTTACGTAGAGAACATTTACGGCAAATATTTCATGTTTCACATCAATCACATCGATACAAAAGACGAGCTCATCAAACACTGTGAAATTCCTACTACAAAGGGAGTTAACTAGTGTTTGCATTTTTTGATGTAGTTGTCATTAGCGCGAGGAGATTTATATTCGTTTTCGAAAGTTTTCTGAACGTACAAATGTAGAATGAAATTTTAATTTTTTTACTTTTGCAAGCCAAAGTAAGTTGTTTGGATTGCTTAGCTATGGTGAATATAGTCATCTCTTTATTTCCGTCGTTTGTTTTCTGAAAACAACTCATTTATCTGTTCATCGTTTTAATTCATTAGTTGTTTTTCTCATGTCGAATAAAGTCTACCCAAATCATTTTTCTGCTATTGAAAAATATTGATCACAGCAACAGAGTTTTTAAAACACTGAAAATATATATTTAAATAAATTTTAGTCTAAGGGATCCTTGCTGGGATATTGATTATGAAAGAGCATAAAATTGGAAAATTACATGAACCTTCTGTGCAAAGGTTTTCTTGAGGATCATCTCAATTAAGCTATTTGTTCTTTGGCAAGTTTTAAAGCCTTCAATTCGAAAAGCAATATTTAAAAGGATTTTGCGTCAAAGGTTTTATTTTTTCAATCCCACACAATGATTAAATTATATGGAGACGGGCTACCCTATTTTTGTAGGCAAATATTTAAAACCAGTACAAATTGGTCTATTCCAAATGCCAGCATTGTCCTTCTATAAAAACAACTTCGCTTAAGTTGGCTAAGAGCAGCTAATTCTTTTTCCATGCAAATTATCGAATTCCCGTCTGCAACACAACAACGAAATGTTTTTGATAGAATTGATTATCCTTCCATGTAAATATGAGCTGAGCGTTAGGATTGAAGTTGTTTTGAATGAAGCAATTCTTCATCGTAGCAATTCTTACTTTTTTTGTAACAACTGAAAATTTCCGATATGGTTCATCATAATAATACGCCTTTGTTAAATACTGTTAATATCAACAAAAGAAGTTTACAAGACTGAGGTTCCTTCCTTTAAAAATCATCTTTGTTGAATTCAGGTTTTTAATTTTGTCATAACGACACGTTAATAAGCTCAGTGCATCAGCTGTTGTAAATCAGCGAAATAGAAATAAAGAGTGACGGAAAGTAAGATAGCCAGGGCTGAAGTATGAATATAGGGATGGAAAATGATGCGCATTTTGTAACTCACCTTTACCAAACGTCAAGTAAGTCGTCGATGAAGTCCAGACTGAGAATACTAGAAACGCTGAAAATTCCATGCTTCCTCACGGACAACGGAGCTCAGTATTGATGCTTTCAGTGTGCCACAAATTTCGCGTCGACCACCTGCATTTGATAATGAATTTAAGTGATAGAAACCGACCTATTAGTATTAAAAATGGGATGTTAACAAAATTAACAGCTGTCAGTCCTGACCCTGCAAATAATATATGTGGGTACGCGTTTTAAAGTTTGCGAATGAACACGTTTCCAATGTCTTCCTTTGTGCCAGTTAGAAACACTTTGGTTTTGATGAGCTATGATTCTATCGGTGTTCATCAACAGATTAGAAAAAGGGATTTTACCACACAAATTTCCATAACATTAACTTCAATTGCTTCATAATTATAGTCAATGGAGTGCGTTTAAGACAATAACATCATAAAAATATTTTTAAGAACATTAGGTGAACATACTCCAATAATGCAGTCACATAAAAAGCCAAGTTCCCTTGAGTTTCTAAGAACTCCCAATTTTCAAGATCGATCCGTAAATTCAACGTTTCTTCGTTTGTGTGTTTCTTTTGTTTTGTTTTTTTGTTTCATTCTCAGGGGAAACTCCTTACAAGTTTAATTGAAGCGCCAATAATTGACGAAAAGAAAATTCTCACCAAAATATGGTAATAAAAATAGGTCTTATATACCGAAAGTCCCGCTCACGAAATCCTGCGGATAATGGTAATCGGTGTGTAGGAGCAGACAGGCTGGCGTAACCTTATCCGCCAAACAAAAAAAAAACACTCGCAAAGTTAGCTTTCATTTTCCAAAAACACGAATTCTTAATTAAGACTGTATCTTGAAATATGTCTGAAATAATAAAATAAGCCACGTTCTTGGATAGATTGTGAGTCTCTTGTTCTAATTCGACGAAATGAATAAGAGAAACTCCTTCTTGAATTTAGGATATCGTGTTTGAAGTTGTTAAGCTGTAACTCCCACTTCATTACAGCGAGCAAAATATTTTCTCGTTTGGCCCTCCTACTTACTCTAAGTAATACAGGAACGCAATAATTTGAAGTCCTAAGTTATTAGCCATTTCATCTTCTCCGCCATTCGTTAACGTCAAAATTGATTAATGACGAATTCTAATAAGCTCTCTAGTTTGAACAAACAATAAATCTCCCATGGTGGATATTAAACAACAAAAAATTTCATAAATTTTCAGAGCAACTTACGACCTATGTCTCGATACATCAGGATTGAATAAAGGTTGTCGAAGGAGAACCCCTGAATGTTGTTTTAAGCGCCATTTTCATCTCAAAGATAATAGCAAATTGATGTTTGGAAAAGGTGTACCGTAATTTATGATTGGATTCATCAAAACCATTCAGTATCGGATCTGGCTTCCAAGGCCTTCATTGGAAGAACTTTTAAATTATAAGATATTTTCAGGTTTTCCTCCGTTAGATAAAATTGTTGCAGACTTAAGGTTAAAAAGACATGTGAGCCAACATTTGGTTCCCGACTTATTTTTCTGATTGGAAGTCATGTAAATCAACTTCCATATTTTATCGAGGTTCTTCTTGTTCAAAATCATCACTTTTGTCTCAATATGAACGGAATTCAAACGAGCTGCATATTGGTCTAAGTTGAGGGATAGAACAAAACAATCTGTGAAAGGAAATCTTTCCAAGTACACAAAAAAACAACTGTAATTTTTGGCAAGTTAGATATTTCAAATAAAGAAGATTTTTGTCATCAACTCTATTTTTCTACACCGTAAATTGAACCCAAACAGCGGGCTTCGTCACTGCATTAATACCTCTCTTATCACTTTATGGAATTTCCTGTCGTTTCGAGTTTCACAATTTGCGACGAGCTTAGAACCGCCAGCATTGACTTTTTATAATTTGGCACTTTTCTCTATTTACGGTAATGATAGAACTACAATTTCTACATGGGGTGTCATTATAACCATAAACAAATATCGCTGAGAAAAGGTTTAAGAGGTAAACCCTTGTAGGAAACTAAAATTAAGGACAATGATCTTGTTTATTTCAAATAGCTGAAGCTGTTTTTTCGCCAAAAGTTTGTTATATCCACATTTGAAAGCTAGGTATTTTTCATTTTTTTTTTATT